AAAAACGATCGCGGGAGAGAGCAGGCGAGAGCAGCGGAGAGAGCAGGCGCAGGAGCAGCGCTCAGGAAAAAACGATCGCGGGAGGGAAGGTCATGATCAAGCCGAGCGGGAGAAGCTTTCCTTCGATGACTCTTCAATGTCTCTGATACCATGTGAATTTTGAATAATGCTTTTCTCACTTGAATACATAGATAATTCACCTATAAATAAGTGAGTACAAGAGAAACAAAAAGAGGAAAGAAATCTTCCTATAATAAAGTAATTCCTATAACTATGGAATAAACATAAATACCAATAATTAAGGAATTACTCTTTTTATATTATGACTTAAATATAACAAATATTAAATAGAATTAAAGTAAATAATAATGAGGAGCATAATTCCACAGAAAACTATTTATATGTATTCATTTTGTTGTTTTGAAAGACTGTTGACATTGTTATTGTGCTTGGAGATGTTCTTTGTTTTATACTCTTTGGAGAGTTGTATCTTTTTTTTCTAAGTTGTGTCTATATCTTGCTCAAAAACAGCTAATTGATCCACCTTATTGTTCGTACATCGTCGTTTTGGAGTTTTCTTTGTTTTTTCGGTCGGGACAGCCACCAAACATCATTTATCCCCCTCCAAATATCATTGACTACCCATATTATCCTTGTTTTTCTATTCCACAACACCTCCCCGCAAAACCCGCTTCTTACACAACTTCTAAGGGCCCTAAAAAGGTATTAGGAACATCATAGTGTGGTATCTAGGAGAATAAAGACCACCCATCAGAAAATATGATGCAGTTACAACCCTTTTAAACTTTAAAGGATATGCAAACTTTAGCGTTGAAGGTGGAGCGACCTAACAAAGTCACTCCCCTTTTAAACAAGATTCAGCCATGGGTAAGATAGCATGAGCACACCGATCATAGCACCAAAACCACGTCTCATGAGAAGAAGCCAACATATAATGAAAAACAGTTGGAGTTATTAACCCCCAGTCATTCCCAACTAGAAAATAACTCAAATATCATGGGTATGGATGGACACATTACATTCAAATTCTCAAACAAGATAATGATTTATTTACATATCACAAAACAGTAAACGAAGCAGATAGTGTAGGCCCTGAAGATAAGGAGAATGGGTAGGATATCAGCTACTCATAGAAGAGGGTGAGATGTTTGTGATTCAACGACTTATCCAAACTGAACCAAAGAGGGTACAACTAAGGCTTGGGTATAAAATCTTCTGTATTCATTGCATAGCGAAGAAGGTGTGCAATATCATTATAGATAGAGACAATTATGAGTATGTTATATCAACATAAATAATAAAAAATTTGAGTCTCACTACCCAAAATCATTTTCAACCTTATTCTCTGACTTGCTTGAATAAGCAAAATAAGATCAATGATGAAAAGAGATGTCCAATAGAATTTTTCATTAGAGATAAGTTACAAGATCAGGTTTGGAGTGACGTCGTGGCTATGACTATAAGTATAGTTCTATTGGGCCAACCGTAGCAATACGTAAATGTACATTTCATGCTGACTATAAAAACATCCGCTCATTTATCAAGTATTAGTGCATTATACTTTTTACCCTTAAAAGTGTTAACAATAATGACTACTTAGAAATTGGATTTATAATGCCCAATGCTACATTTCTACATGTAATGAGAGAGGCACCAGTGAGAAGGTCTTCTTGATGTTGGAAGGCAGCGAGAAAGAGTAGTTAATATTTGAGACAGTGCCACCGCTATTGGAAGAATTTCAAGATGTTCTGACTAGCAACCAGTCACCTAGATTAACACCCATATGAGAGATTTAACATGCTAAATAACTCATTCCAGGATCAGTGCTCCCAGACCGACTAGTCTACCATATGCAACTAATAAAATATGATGAGCTACAAAAGTTGGTTAAGAATTTGATGATCCAATATCAGCATGAGTGTTGTAGCAACTAGGATTGTGGCCAAAAAGGACAGATTTTTGTGCATGTGAATTTATAACAAGGCTATAAAAAGGATCATCATTTAGTATCAATTTTCCATTTTGAGATTTGTTGAATTATTATATAAATAACATGAAGCTAGCATCTTTTACAATATGGATCTCCGCAATGAATATCACTACACTTCGGATAATACCCTGAGATTCGTGAAAGACTATTTTCAAGACACAAGATGGATTGTATGAGTAGATGGTCATGTCTTTTACGTATCCATTGCTCTGAGATCCGTTACGGCGCTAATGAACCAGTTTTTTCGAGACTTCATCGAAAAATTTAGGGTTGTGTACGTTGATAATATTATGGTGTATATCATTCAAAGGAGGATCATTTGCAGCACTTGCGATAGGCTTTTGGAATTCTTTGAACATAGCACTTAAATTGCTACCTGAAAAATTGTTACATTTTTACACCGCCGACATGCCTCATTGGATACATTATTTTTGCTACTAGCATTAAGAAGGACCCAACAAATATAAAGGCCATCATAAACTTGTCTTATCCAAGGTATCACTTAGGTACACCAATTTCATGAACTGACTTCTTTTCACGAGAGATTTATAAGGAAATTCAGCTTTATTGTGGCACCCTTAAAAGAGCTACTCAAGACAAACAGATTTGCATGGTCAGAAGAAGCACATGTTAGTTTTGACGCTTTAAATAAGCAGGTTACTTGGCCTATGTTCTACAGTCAGGAGTTTGAAGAGGAGTGTGATGTATACAAGTTGAAATTGGAGTTGTCTTGAGTTAGGGAGGCCACCAAAAGTTGTAAATTTTCAAGAAAAAATACATCACCTATGACAAGAAATTTTATGTCATTGCAAGAGCACTTAGTCATTAGAAATGATGGTAAACGAGTTCACTCATTACACTAATCATAGGGTCTTGAGGTTCCTAAACAGTCATAGCAATCTCAAGTGCAGACATGCCTCTTAGGTTATTTTCCTCTCCTCTTATCATTTTGAGCTAAAGCATAAAGCTGGGATTCAAAACAAAATAGCTAATATGTTAAGACATTGTCACTTACTGATTAACATAATACAGTGGAATGTAGTCAGCTTCAAAGTAATGAAAGATTTGTATGCCACCGATAAAAACTTTCAAAAGATTTGGAACCATTGTCAAGAGATACCATATAATTATTTATCCCATCAGATCAGCGTATTCCAAGGAGTTCGCATAGGGAGAACATTTTATAAGAGTACCATAATGGTGGGAAGATCGGAGGATAGAATTTTAAAATTTGTGTAGAAGCAAGCACTACAATGATTGACACAACTGTTCTATCTTTAAATTACAGCAACCTTAAATACTCATTAGACTTAATTATCTCATGAAAAATAGCAAATAATATATAAGAAATTAGAAATTATGTAAGAAAAATCTTGTAAGAAATGAGTTAAATCAGATTATAGAAAGAGGCTTCAACAAAAAAAAAAATTGTTAACGGTTTAAGAATAAAAAAACTATAACTCATTCATAAATCATAAACACAACAGTTTGTGCACCTAAAGACAACGTTGCTAATTCTTTCAATGTATGAAAATAAATAACCTGATGTGTTAAATAGTGAGGATGATTGACGAGAAAAAAGTGTTCCACGAGTTCACTAATAGATTCATCGGGATCAGGTGGCACATTCCTGACAAGGACCTGTTATAAAAAATAAAGATGCATTAAATGTTTCAGGAAAAATTGGTAAGTACTTACAGAAGTCAGAAAAGCCAAAATGAAAGTGACGATGGAAAAACAAAAATTCAGCAGTCCATACCCACGGCATCAATTCAACAAGTAGCAATAGTTCAGAAAAATGCAAATAATTACAAGTGCCTACATGTAAATCTTAAAGCAAAGTTTATGTATGGAGATAGTTGAGACTTTATTTCAGCATGCTGAAAAACAAGCAAGCCATGTGAAAAAAGCATGTCAAGAAAATAATAAGTAAGAGACCAAATGCATATCAGCTCCTTGGGCAGAAATTATTAAAAATAAAAACTTCAAAGTTTTGTTCATATTTCTGGGATTAAAATCTCATTATGAATGAATGATATGTGATACAAGCACTGAACAGCGCCCGCTTTCGGGAACTAAAACAATGCCGGTTCAAGGCACTGAATGTTGTGGGGGGTCAACCCGCGTCCCATGATAAAGGGAAGAGGCGCGAAGCCAAGCGCGACAACGGGAAGAATCTCGTGAAGGCTAAGCTTTCCGGAGATATGGGCAGGGCAGGATCGCGATCCAGCGTGAAGAAAAAAAGCAGATCACGAATTTTCGCGATCCAGCCGCTTCACTAGTTTGCCTCACCTTTCTTTGTTCGGGAAGGGATTTTATGGATTCTTCTTTCCTTTCCGCCCTTTCTTTTTGTGTAGAACTTTCTTTTGTCCAGTAGGGAGCCTATAAATTGTTGTCCTAGGTGTGTAGGGGGTTAGTTCTTAGTGTGTTTAGTTTCATATCTCCTGTATGGAGCCTCTTTCCCCTTCCCACGTATTATTACTGCTAACCTGCTTCCTAACTCCTTTCAAGCTCCTCCCAACAACCTCATTACCGTTGTCGACCACCTACAACCCTATTCCCACCTCTTGTCCCTATAATTCAGCCTTTCGCTGCCACCAACCTCCCGTGATTGTCATCATTCCTCCTAATCAGCTTTATCCCTCTAGCCGACCTCCACCACCCATTGGAATACGTTTAGAAGTGTTTGCTTGTTTCATTTTATGTTTTGTGTCGTTATTTCTATTTAAATCATGTTATAACCTTATTTTAATATTAATGAAAGTTTGTTTTGTGTTTTCGATTTGTGTTTTCCTAATTAGTTCCGGCATCATTTGGTATTTGAATCCCTCCCCATGCGAGAATTCCCAATAAGAAATACACATAGGAGGACCCAGAGATTATAGGTAGATTTACCTGAGTTTGAAGGAGGCAAGGATCCGGATGAATTCTTTAAGTGGCTACAAACTGCTGAACAGATCTTCGAATATAAGGAGATAACGGAGGAAAGGAGAGTTAAGCTAGCCGCCATTAAGGTAAAGAAGAGTGCTTCCCTATGATAGAAAAATGTGCAGAGGCAGAGGCAGAGGAAAGGCAGTGAACTAGGTGGGAGAAGATAAAGAAGGTAAAGCAAAAAGACTATCTCTCACCCAACTATCGTCAGAATATGTTTCTAAAACTCCACAACTTACAACAGGGGATCTTTCCGTAGAGTAGTTCACAGACCAATTCGATCACTTACAGCTCAAGTGCAAACTAATAGAGTCGGAAGGGTCACATTGCTCCCATTGCATGCCCATTTGAATCGATAATGGGATACTTTCAAAAAATGCAACAGCAAAGGCATGGTCTACAGCCTCAGGAAAACAGATCGATATGGACATTTAATCGTAAGCTGTGGAAGACCCTTAAACACCTCAGTCAATAATGTGGTTGCCTATGGGATTCAGGATGGCTAACAAAGAAAAGAAAGCTTCAAAATATGAAGTCAAAGCTCCCCCAACCACTGGAGAATGATACTGGCGCTAAAACAGCGTCGTTTCGGGGTGCTAAATGTCGCGAGGGACCAACCCGCGTCCCATTAAGAAGAGAAGAGGCACGAAGCCTCATGCGACAACGGGAAGAATCCAACAAAGGCTAAGCTTTGCGGAGCTGCGGGCAGGACGGGATCGCGATCCTGCATGAAGGAGAAAGGCAGATCGCAAACTTTAGCGATCCTGTTGACCTCGCTTTCGGTCGAGGTGCAGTTTTTCCCTCCTTACTAGCCAAGGATCTAGCCGTAGAACCTTTCTGTCAACTCCTCCTAGAAAACCTACTCCTAGAAAACTGGTAAAATAGCCCTCCCCATTAGCAGTTCTGAAATTTTTTTCGCTCGACTTGACGTTCAATATAGTAGTTTTGACCGTTATTTCTTAGCAGGTAAAGCTACTATGAAGGAACTCAGTGAGTATTCCTATAGGACTGCCGACCTTAGGATTGGCTGTACACGTTGATTTGGCGACGCCGTCCTCTGCACTGTCCTGTTTGATTTAACTTATACCGGAATTTTGATAGGATTTGGACCGCGACGCATTTTTGACCCGATCGACGACGAGGTTGCCCGGACGACTCTGGATGACAAAACGGACTACGCTGCTGCGTCCGGAACATCGATTTTGCCCAGGGGGCGTTCGTTTCATTGCGACGGTGCGTCTTGGGGAAAATACATATTTCAATGCTAATTATAATAAATAATATTTTATTATTATTATTATTATTATTATTACTATTATTATTATTAACTTATATTAAAAATCCTTAACCTATATCTATCTCCTCCCTCCCCGCCTCATTCTCTCGAACCCGTGGGTCTGCCTCAGCCCTAGATCTCGCTCGGTTTCGTCTAGCCCGCTCCTTCGTGCCGTTGGAGTTTCGTTCCCGCGCTCGCCTCGCGCACGCGGGACAATCCCGCGACCCATCCCTTATCGTATCTCATCTTTTGCGAGGATCTCATCCTCTGCTTCTCGCACGCCCGTATGGGGGCGTCTGCTCCTCTCGATCCTTCGATCCGTATGCAATCCCCTAATCATTCTCTCTCTTTCTCGTTGGTTTATATGATACTCTGTTTGGTGCGTTTCAAGTGGCCGAAAATCTCTTAGGGGGGGAAACTCTGTCATTTTCTTTTCTCACTTACTTCTTTAGCCTGTTGTACTTGGGTTGGTTTCCTCTTACTGTTGGAGCAAGGATTGAAGTGGAGGAGGGCTTTGAAAATTTTTGTGTGGCTTTTCTTTGCTTCAGGGAGGTACTTTCTCCCCCCTCTGTGTCTTGACTTTCTTCGGTTTTATCTCTGTCGAGCCCCTTAGCTTGGTGCAGTGGACGATACAGCATGCTTGTGTGATATTACACTTATGTTTTTGAAATACTTGGTACTCAAGCATGTATAAATGAAAATGTGAGCATGTTTTGGGAGTTAGACTTGATTACTTGCTTAAAGTGGTGAAGCTATGGCATTTTTCTATTTATTGCAGCATATTTCTATTGAAAGCAATTAGGAGGGTTGAAACGTGGCTTTGATACAATGTTAGCTCCTTTTGCAAGCATGTTAGGATATGTATCATGAAGTTTTTTATTTATTCTTATTTAGCATGAGACATTGGAAGGTTTTATTTGGTCTTTCACGAATGTGGAAGGCTCGGTTTTAGCATCTTAAATTCCTTTTTGGCTTAAAAATGCATGCTAAGTTCACTTTGATTTAGGAAAGAGTTCTATAGTTTTCTTTAATTGGGTTTTCGTTGGTTCTCGATTTTAATTTCAGGAGCATGGGATGTTGATTTTTTGGCTCTTGAGAGGAAAGTTGATTCATGCTTAGAACGATTATATTAGTGGCCTAAAAATACTTTCCATTTTAAAACCTATTTTGGCTCCATATATTGATGTTTTAAAGACACGTGGACTGTTCTTTGGCCCTCAATGGCTCGGTTTTTTGGTTTTTGTTGGTTCTCTATATTTAATTCAGGAGGATGGTTGAGGTATTGAAGCTCTTTTACTAGCTTTGAGAGTTTCGTTTTGGCCCTTGCTGGTTTTTGTTTTGCATGAAAATGGCTGGGTTTGGATTTGCTATCATATACTGCATTTGATTAGCCTTTAAAGCTTTGATTTGATCTCTTTAGGGGCTCG